AATGCGCGCGTCGCGCTCGAGCTCGTACTGCGACTTCACCGGCTCGCGCGGCGCCGCGGCCGCGCGCGCGAGGACGCACTTCGGCGCCGCGGCGGGCGCGCACTCGTCGCAGAAGTAGGGCGACGGCACGCCGCCGCCGCCGATGGACATGCAGCGCTCGTGCTGCCAGGACTCGCACTTCTCGCACTGCCACATCGCGGACCCGTCGTCGAAGCCCCAGCCCTTGTCGCCGCAGCGGCAGTTGAAGAGCCACGTCTCGTCCGCCGCGGGCGCGGGCGCCGCGGTCGCCGCCGACGCGGGCGTCGACGAGGACGCGGGCGCCGGCACGACGCTGTCCGCGGCGCTCGGCGAGACGGCGTCGGCCCGCGCCGGCGACGCCGCGGAGGCCGCGTAGGCGACGGACGCGTCCTGGAAGTGGCTCGGGAAGCGGTGCACCAGCAGCGCCTGGAACGCGCGCGCGAACTCGATGTTCTCCGTCTTGCACGGCACGAACTCGATGGAGAGGTCGCCGTCGAAGAGCTCCGTCACGTGCGCGGGCTCGAGGTGGAGCTTCTCGGCCAGGTACGCCTCGATCGTCGTGCCCCGCCGGCAGTCGAGCACGCCCCGCGGGAAGGAGTCGATGATGACCTTCGCGACGCGCTCCTCATCCGTGGTCAACTCGCGCGCCGCGTCGTCGCGCGGCGGCGGCGGCGCCTCGGGCGGCGGCGGCGCGGGCTCCAGTCGGGCCGCGTAGTCGCGCGACGACGGCGGCGCCTGGGGCCGCCCCGACCAGGGCAGGTCCTCGTCGCGCAGGAGGCCGTCGCCGCGGCAGGTCAGTAGGACATTGCCGTGGCGTTCGAGGAGGCGTTCGGCTCGGGCCCTTTCGACAGCCAGAGCAGGGTGGCGAAGGAACGCGGGGTCGATCGTGTCCAGTTGCTTCACGAGCTTGACGACGTCGCCGCGCAGGACGATGGTCGGGCGCTCGGATCGACGCAATAGCTCCGGTGAACAGAAAAAAGCGATCCACATGTAGGAGTCGAGGAGCTTCAGCATGAGTTTGAGCTTCTCGGCGTCGTCGTAGCGCCCCTGGCCGAGGAGCGCGGCGGCCTTGAGGCGGAGCATGCGCGACACGTCGTTGTAGTCCTCGATCTCTGAAACCATCACGTTCATGTCGTCCTTGATGATCTGCTCTTGAATTACATTAAGATGGACCGGCGCGGCGTATGCCTCGTGGCCGTGAGTCACATCGTCATCTCGCAGCGGACGGGCTAGACTAACACCAAACTTGCCTTTGAGCGCGCCGTCCTCGAGCAGCGGCGCCGCGTACCCGCGCGCCGCGTGGGCGAGCCGGGCCGCCGCGGCGCTCTCGTCGGGCCGCGAGATCTTGTGAAGTTTCTGCAGGAGCGCAAGCTCGAGCTCATTGGAGGTTATAGGCCTCAAAATTAACTTATTCCCTTTCTTTTTTGATCGTAGACTGACGTGCTGAGTAGTAAGATGGTTTCTATGTTTAGGCAAGCCAAGCGTGACAAAAAACTCGCGCCATGGGAGCACCGTGCGATGAGGGTGCGCATATTGAAGGTGCTGATGAGAAGTAAACTTGTCGCTGCGCGGCTCTTTCCAGGACGCCATAGACGCCGTTCGCGCGCGAGCAAATGACGGCAGCTGAGACGCAGCGCTCGTGACGAGACGGTGCGGCTGTACGTGGAGGGCATCGAGGCTGCAACGCATCGCCAACATCATCCGGGCAGCGTTTTGTCGTTTTGCGATGCCCCGCGCGCGCGACCTCGAGCGAATGCATTGTCACAAATTTGCGGGTGCCTAGAGGACCCTACTGAGAGTGCCTCTGCAGCGCGTCGACGTGCGGGAAGTCGAACGCGTCGCGAGACCAGCCTGTGCGCTCCATAGTGCAAACCAGTGGAGGTCGTTCGACGGCGCCGCCCTTCGACGGCCGCGGCGAGGCCGCGGGCGACGGCGTCCAGACGGACTTCGACGGCGAGGCGGAGTTCGAGTTCGACGGCGACGGCGCCCAGACGGACTTCGACAGCGAGGCGGAGTTCGAGTTCGACGGCGACGACGGCGCCGCGGCGCGGCGCCGCTCCACGGCGGCGAGGACGCGGCGCCGCTCCACGGCGAGACGGCGCGGCGCCGCTCCACAGCCAGCTTCTGCCGCGGCTCCGCGACGGCGGCGGCACGTGCCTCGACGAGCTCCAGTCCCTCGGCGCCGCGAAGATCAGCCGGCTCCAGGCCTACGGCATCGACACCGTCGAGAAGCTCGCCGTCGTCGACGTCCGCGACTACCCGTTGGTGCGCCTCATCACGGGCAACCAGCGCCCGGACAAAGCCTCGACGACCATCGCGATGTGGCGCGACATCGCCCCCACGTTCCTCGCGCGCCGCGCCGCGTCCCTCGAGCCTGGGGCCACGCCGTCCTGGCCGAAGCGCAAGGCGGCGACGATGGCCGACGCGGCGAGGTGGCTCGCACCGCAAGCTCTACTGGCGCCATGAGCGCCACGCGTGGAACGGCCGAAGCTGCTTGAGGACCGCGTCGCCTTCCTCGCGGAGTTCATCCGGCTCCGGGACCAGGGCATCAACAACGTCGAGGCGCTCGCCCGGGTCGACGTCGCGGACCACGAGCTGATGGTCGCCCTCACGGGCAACAGCCGCCCGGACCGCGCGGCGGCGACCGTCGCCGAGTGGCGCCAGGCCGCTTCGACGTACCTCGCACGCTTGGCCGAGGACTGCTTCGCCTTCCTCGCGGACGACGGCCGCGGTGCGCCAGAACCGGAGCCCAATTGACATACTTTGTCCATTTAGACCACGATACTCTAAAACCCCTCATGAAAGTCCTCCTCGTCGGACTCGGAACGAGCGTCTCCGGACGTCGTCAGAGCTTCGGCGCCCGCCGAGCATGCTCGCGCGCACGGCGGCGAGCGGCAAGGTTGCGGCATCGACGGCTTGTCGAAGGACGCCGCCACGTGAGACACCGCTGTCTGCCGCAGCCGTCGTCGTCGGCCACTGAAACTCGCATGTCCCCAGCGTTCAATGATGCGCGCGCCAACGCGAGAGGAGAGCTAACACACACTGCCGCGACGTTGGGTGCCTTGTCGCTCGCGGCGGAACCGCCGGTCCGCGCTTGCCCGGCCAAAGCCTCGTCCCGGCGCGCTCCCGCAGCCGCTCGCGGCGCGGGCGACGCCCTGGCGGCGGACCGCCGGGTCCGTCCGCATCCCAGCGGCGCCGCCGGCCGCAGACGGAGTTGGCCACCCCCACCCCCTCCCCGACTCGTTCCGCGCGCGCGCGCGCCGCGCCGCCGGCGCGCGAAAAGCGGGCCGCCGATCGCAGGCGACCATGGGCAAGGGCGCGCAGCAGCTCACGTCGCCGGCCGTCAAGGATGCGGCGGCGAAAGACGTGCTCATCCACGGCCAGCTGTACGACGTGACCAATTTCAAGCATCCGGGCGGGTCCATCGTCAAGTTCCTCACGAACAACGGCGACGCCACCGAGGCCTTCGTCGAGTTCCACGGCCGGTCCAAGAAGGCGCAGGCGATGCTCAAGGCCATGCCGAAGGTCGCCGCGGACGCCGAGACGATGAAGGCGCGCGGCTACAACGGCAAGGAGGCGCGCTCCAGCGTCCTGCAGCGAATGCTGAGAGATTTCGACCGCGATGAAAGATTTCGACCGCGAGAGACTCCGGGCTCCGCCGAGACCATGAAGGCGCGCGGCCGTCGACGGCGCGGGCTTCGTCGTCTTCGAAATCGTCACCACCGCCCTCCCTAGGCCCTCTCCGTCGGCTACGCCAAGCTCCGCGCCGAGTTCGAGGCCGAGGGCCGCTTCGACGCGAACGCGTCGGAGATCGCGTACCGCATCGGCGAGGTCGTGCTCATGCACCTCGTCGGCGCCTACCTCATCATGGCCACGGACCACTTCTTCAAGGGCCTGCTCTGCCTCGGCATCGTCTCGGGCCGGTGCGGGTGGCTCATGCACGAGGGCGGCCACTACTCGCTCACGGGCGTCATCAAGACGGACCGCTTCCTCCAGGAGGCGATCTACGGCGTGGGCTGCGGCATGTCGGCGGCCTGGTGGCGCAACCAGCACAACAAGCACCACGCGACGCCCCAGAAGCTGCAGCACGACGTCGACCTCGACACGCTGCCGCTCGTCGCGTTCCACGCGCAGGTCGCCGCCAAGGCCAAGGGCGCGCTCATGAAGCAGTGGCTGAAGCTCCAGTGCTACCTCTTCATCCCCCTGTCGTGCCTCCTCGTGGCGTCGGGCTGGCAGCTCTACCTGCACCCGCGCCACGCGCACCGCACGAAGCGCGGCAAGGAGCTCGCCTTCATGGGCCTGCGCTACGTGCTCCTCTTCGGCGTCGTCTTCAAGGACCTGACCTGGCTCCAGGCCCTGGGCTACTACAACCTCTACAACCAGATCGCCGCGTCCTACATCTTCACGAACTTTTCCCTGAGCCACACGCACCTGCCCGTGTCGCAGCCCGACGACTACCTCCACTGGGTCGAGTACGCGGCGCTCCACACGACGAACATCTCGCCGGGCCTCGTCTGCAACTGGTGGATGGCGAACCTCAACTTCCAGATCGAGCACCACCTCTTCCCCTCGATGCCCCAGTTCCAGCACCAGCACATCTCGCCGCGCGTCAAGGCCTTCTTCGAGGCCCACGGCCTCCACTACGACGTCCGCCCCTACTTCTCCTGCCTCAAGCAGACCCTCGAGAACCTCCACGACGTCGGCCACTCGACGGACGCGGTGAAGAAGGACTAGGCGCGCGGCGCCCGTAGCGGCGCGCGCCCCGCCTTCGCTCCCCGGGTACATAGTATCCTCCTTTCCCCGTTAGAAGATGGCCTCGTTGAAGCGCCGGAGCTTCGCCGAGTCCCAGTCCGCGCCGCCCTCGTCCCGCGCCACGAGCAGGCGGCGCTTCCGGCCGCGGCCCGCGACGTGCCGCGCGAGCCAGCCTGCGTGGAAACCGAATCTTCAACCCGACTTCAATGTGCGCGTATTCGAATGTTTTGACACGAGCAACTGTGCTTCGAGATCTCGATGAGAGCAATCGATTCGTCCAAAAATCAGCTGACCGAGCTAGAGAATTCACAGTTTGGTCGGGACGTCCCAAACCAGTGGTTGAGTTCCACACAGGAACCAGCCCACGCGGCCCGTGATGTACGGCGTCTCGTCGTGGCGCACCTGCGGCGACGCCATCCCGCCCGCGCGGCGAAGCGGACGCGGCGACGGCGCGATGCCGATCCAGTAGTCGCCCATGCCGACGGCCCGCGGGCCCCGGAGCAGGCAGAGGAACTCGTTGATCGTGTCCGCCTGCGGCGCGCGACCGGTCGGCGCGGGCCCGCCGCCCAAACGCCGCGGCGGCGCCTCGTGGCGCTCGCAGCCGAGCGGGAGCCGCGAGCCCTGGACGTCGAGCCGCGTCCCCCAGGGCATGTAGGGCGACTCCGCGAGCGCGGCCCTGACCTCGGCCGCGAGGTCCGCGTCGTCCGCGAGCCGCGCGTGCGCCTGCGCGACGCACTGCCGCGCCACGTCGCGGAGCTCGTCGTCGTCGGCCGTCCGCGGATGCCCCGCGGACCCGGAGAAGACCATGACCTCGAGGCGCTCGAAGAAGTCGCGCCACTGCTCCGGCAGCACGTGCGCGTCGGCCGGCATGCGCTTCGCGCCCGTCCAGCCCACCATCGTCCACGGCGCGCGACCAACGAATGCACGTCAAGACCGTGGACAGAGACGAAGCGCGAACAACGAATGGAAAGAGTTCAGGGAGTCGGGGCA